CAATATATTTAAAAATATATATTACCAGCAATAAAATTCTTGTCGGCATTAAATGACCCATTGAGGTGTTGATATATTGTAAAACAAACCAAACCAAACTGAAAAAATAGCCATGTTTTATACGCTTGTCGGTGATCTTTATTGACGAATCAACACAGAATTAACACCGCGAAAACTAATACACAAAGAAAATACTTTTCAAACAGAAAACAAAAAATAACATTGAACAAAAACTCAAAGAAGTGATAACGAACTTATTTTATGTTAGGGAAGAATAATTTAAGACATACTAGGTAAGTAGCAAAGGAAAATAAAGTTCGACTTGCAGCTCGGAGAGACCAGAATGAAACAAGTTCGACAATTTAAATATCTAGGAAGTATTTTAACAGAGAACAGAAAGTGTGACACTGAAATCCGAAGATGCATTGGGATAGAAACTGGAAGAAAACCGCCAGGATACAGACAGAAAAAGAACTTAGTAAATATACAAAAATATAAACGGTCGTAAGACAAGCACGTGTCTACTCACCAGAACTATTCAAGCTATACAACGAGGCGATTCTAAGATAATTAGAAGTCCTTCCAGGATTCATTATTTAGGACTGCAATCTTAAGCATATATGATAGAAAGATGGCAGTGTTGATAGAAGACACAGAACGTTAACCACAAGAACTTCTACAGAAATTAGAACCACCTCTTAATTGCAGTTGTTCCCAGATCTACGCTGACTGGGGGTGGTAGCACCTGTTAGGGTCTCAACTATGGGTGAATAGTTAACCCCTAAACTGAGGTCAAAACGCTATGAAAGTGTAGTTTTAATACCAGAAATACTTTTTATAAAGAATTATTACCAGCAATACATTATTACCAGTAATGAATTTTTGAAAAGCAAATATTACCAGCTATAATTTAAAAAAATATTACCAGCTATAAATTTTTTGAAAAAGACATTACCAGTAATAGATTTTTGAAGAAAAATATATTACCAGCAATAATTTTTTGAATAAAATATATTACCAGCAATACATTATTACCAGTAATGCATTTTTTAAAAAACAAATATTACCAGCAATACATTTTTGAAAAAAAAAAATTACCAGCTATATATATATATATATATGTGTGTGTGTGTGTGCGTGTGTGTGTGTGTGTAAAATCCGTAGGTAAATAATCCAAGTGAATCCTATTATTATAAAATAAGGGGTAATAAAACAATATATATATATATTAAAATAATATATATTATGATAATAATAAAAATACAATATATATATATATATATATATATATATATATATAGTGAGAGAAAGTGAGAGATATATATAGAGAGATAAACGGTGTAGATTTAGAAATCAACATTGTATGGTGAGTTAGATTATGTTTCTTGTTTGAAGTTGAAAGTGTTTCCTAAGGTTTCCATACTTGATAATCAGTTTCTTAAAAAAAACAACTAAATATTATGAAGCTTTTACTATTTTTAAAAAGCAGGCTCAACGCCAAGCATGGCATCGTTTCTTGCTTTGTCATTCTTCACCTGTTTTCAAAACAACACAACTTGACCAGTCTTTGTGCTAATTCTTCAGGCACACAGTCAATGATGGTGAGTCCATCGATGTTAAATGAATAGGTCTAGTCTTTGTTATTTGCCTAAGTTCACCGTCCTACCGGAAAACTGTCATTATTTATGATTCAAACCAAGCCGTTCCTTTGTTGCTAACCCCACCGCTTTCGTCTTTATGTCTATTCCGCGACTTAAATGAGAATAAAATAAAATTATTTTGAGGAATGTAAAATTGCGTGTTGGAGCTCTTCTGGTAATCCATCATGGATATAAGAAAATGAACTCCGTTTTGATTTGGCAACATTTGCGGGCTGCGAATTAAGGAATTCACGAATAGAAATGTAACTATTTGGGAAGACTTTCAACAGACGACAGAAAAAAATGGTTAGAAGGATTGCCTCGCTAGATCAATTAGAAATAATTAGGGAGGCTGATTCGCATTTGGTGTGATATAATGGTTATCAAACAGATCTCGCTAGATCAATTACGACAATAGCGAGTTCGATCCTCAGAGAGTGTCCTATAATTTCTGTCATTTGCCACATATAAACTACACTTAGAATATCATTTTAACACTAGGACGTAGTGTAATGGTTAGAAAGCTTGCCTCGCTAGATCAATTACGACCGAGTAGCGAGTTCGGTCCTCACTGGGTGCCTCATACTTTCAACCTTGTGCCATATCTAAGCTACGCATACAAAATAATCTGGGTACTCCGACGTGGTCTCACGAGTTCAATTACGACAATAGTTAGATCCTCACTGGCTGTCACATATTTTCTACCTTGTACCACAGCTAATCCACGTTTAGCAAACCGCCATAATTCTGTCATTTTCCACATCTAAACTACGCCTAGAAAATCATTTGAACACTTTTTGACTCTTAGCCGCTCCGTCGCAGAGCATTAACTGGGACTAGCAAGGATATACAAGTGATTATTTTGAGGATTTTTTAGGCTAATCATATAGCAATTCGTCGAACCTAGAATATATATATATATATATATATATATATATATGAAGAAATATACTCTTAAGGTGTGCTATATTTATTGGATAAGGTGTTCAATATCAGAGATAGAGCGTGTGTAAATATAAAAGTGAACAATGAAGTCAATACTTAGAGGCGACAGGCTGTTTCATGCTAGACACAATCGTCAGGCCACGTGTGTTGTTTTTTCTCGGCTATTTATAAATAGTTGAGAATATATATATATATATATATATATATATATATATATATATATATATATATATATATATACTCACATGTGTGTGTGAACATTACTCGTACTGAAATATGGGTGCGTAATTGTTAGTTATGTATTTCTGAGTACAGCCGTCTACTACGAAACATAGCTAATCCCTTTTGCAGACGCAGCTCTGACAGATTTATATATTTTCAATACCCGCAGAACGAACCTACGTTTTAAAATGCATCTATGCTTAGCAGACATTATTTACGTAGTCTGGAATTAAGTGTCGAATATGGTTATTACACTCTCATTCTCAGTCAGGATGACTTATGGCTTCATGCTAACACAACAATCGAACAATTTCATCTCCCCAATTTCACTCACTAGATCAATTGGTGTTATGGTTTTCAGACATATCACAGCGGTGTCTTATGTATAAGTAATTATAATTTTCTATAAATAAAGATTCTGGGAAATGGTTTTATTATATGAAGACCATATTAAATAGTTTTAGTATCTGTCTATATTTCTGAGATGAGGTATTATGTACACTATTTACATTATTCGGACTATTGTCCTCATCTTTGTCGCCATATTTATCACAATGTTTCGGCCTTTCAGTATCTGTCTATATTTCTGAGATGAGGTATTATGTACACTATTTACATTATTCGGAGGTAACTGGCATCCATTAGACATGGCACTTGGAACTAGAACGGTCTACCCCAGTGAGCGAAATAAATAGTTCAGTTCGACATTCCAACCACCTGAAGAAGGCCGGAGCGTACAACGCCGAAACGTTGTAAGAAATATGGCGACGAAGATGAGGACAATAGTCCGAATAATGTAAATAATGTAAATAGTTTTACTAAACCGTCTCAAGTAAGCACTGAGTCAATAAACGTTTATATATGTAAGTTTATTCTCAATCTGCAAGCAATCTCTGTTTTTTTACAATGTACTTCTTTTTACAAAGGTTTGGCGAAATGGTAACAGTTGGACAAATGACCGAGACGTTTCGGGTTGGATTTCAGATCACGGCTGACCAACAAAGTAACCGCACATTGGCCGCATTTTATCAAGTTCATTTACAGAATTGTTCCGACGGTAAGCCCTTCTTTTTATTTCGTCGTCATGTAATGTTCTGAAGTTACTATAAGTTGTTGGTTAGTAAGAAATAAAAACACTGGAAACAAAGGGTTTAGTGAAGAAAGGTTTAATCTGTGGCGGTATTTACTCGCATCATATGATAAGTGGTAGTAGAATTTTAGCCTTGTTTTTACGAATATAAAAACAGAAAAAATAAATGTACAGAGAAGGCATGACAAATTGTAGGGTGATTTCATACAATGTTATTTATGTATTTGTGTATGCATTATACGTTACAGTTGTGATAATGTTCATGTGATAAAAGGACGTAAGTTACTCCGTAATATCACAAGTAGTTCATAATCTTGTCAATGCCCGGCGAACTGGACACGTCTCTTAGTTTGCAAGAGACGTGTTCAGTTCGCCGGGCATTGTGCACGTGCCACAGATGAACTTGTGTCATCATTTGTACTCTGGAGGCAATCATCTTCTGACAATCGATCACGCAAGTTAACCTTTCCAGATAGGATATAACGAGACACATTGATCCCTAAGGAAGATCTTTTAGGTGCTATGACAGATAAGGAATACTGGAGAGGTGTAGTGAGTTCAATCTCGGCTGAGGCCGTAAGATGAATGAATGATGAAAAAAATATCACAAGTCTTATTACACGTGTTGTCATTCCGACAGTTCTTGGGCGAAGAAATCGAATCTCACATTTTTGGCGGGATGTACGTATTTGCAAAGAGGAACAGTTTTTGTTGCATGCACGGAGTAATTTTATCATTTTTATTTGTTATTTAATTTATTTTAAACTAGATTTACATATTACTAAACTACCCATGACCCATTGGGCCACTGACGCTTCAGTTTATAAAACATTGAAGTTGATTTCAACATTAAAAAAATTGTGTTTGGAGAAAGTTGAAATAAAATACTTACTCTATAAACTCATCGGATTTTAAAATCTTATTCGCTTAAAATATTTTAAAATCAGACTTAATTAGAAATATTTTTTTAATATGCCAAAAGATATTTTTAAATCATATTCACTTGAAAATATTTTTTAAATATGCCAAAAAATTTTTTTAAGTATTTAAAATATCGTTTTTTTAAAGAAAGCTGAAATATATATATATACACATGCAGGCAATTACAGAGAAGAGGAAAGAGGGAGAGGTGGAAAGAGGGAGAGGTGGAAAGAAGGAGGTGAAAAGAGAGAGGTAGAAAGAAAGCGGGGGAAAGACGGAGAAGTGTTAAGCGTGCGGTGGAAAGAGAGAGAAATAGAAAGAGAGAGGTGGAAAGAGAGAAGTGGAAAGACAGAGAAGTGGAAAGAGAGAAGCGTAGAAAGAAAGAGGTGGAAAGACAGAGAGGTGGAAAGAGAGATGTGGAAAGAGAGAGGTGGAAAGAAAGAGCGGTGGAAAGAGAGAGGTGGGAAGACAGAGATAGTAGAAGGAGAGAGGTGGAAGAAGGAGGTTTGAAAGAGAGAGAGGTGCAAAGAGAGAGGTGGAAAAAGATAGAGGTGGAAAGAGAGAGGTGGAAAGTAAGAGAAAGATGAAAAGAGAGAAGCGTAGAAAGAAAGAGGTGGAAAGACAGAGAGGTGGAAAGAGAGATGTGGAAAGACAGAGCGGTGGAAAGAGAGAGGTGGAAAGACAGAGAAGTCGAAAGTACGAGGTGGAAGAGGGAGGTTTGAAAGAGAGAGAGGTGCAATGAGAGAGGTGGAAAGAGGGAGAGGTGGAAAGAGAGAGGGGGAAAGACAGAGAAGTGGAAAGAGAGAGGGGAAAAGAGAGGTGTAGAAAGAGAGAGGTGAAAAGAGAGAAGAGAAAAGACAGAGAAGTGGAAAGAGACCGAGAGGGGGAAAGAGAAAAGTGGAAAGAGAGAGGTGGAAAGAGAGAGCGGTGGAAAAAGAGATAGGTAGAAAGAGAGAGGTGGAAAAAGAGAGCGGTGGAAAAAGAGATAGGTAGAAAGAGAGAGGTGGAAAGAGAGGGAGTTGAAAGAGAGAGGTGGAAAGAGAAAGAGGTGACAGAGAGGTGGAAAGAGAGAGAGGTGTAAGAGAGAGGTTGAAAGAGTGAGAGGTGGAAAGAGAGTGGTGGAAAGAGAGAGCGGTTGAAAGAGAGAGAGGTGGAAGGAGAGAGCTGGAAAGAGTGAGATGTGGAAGAGAGAGGGAGGTGGAAGAAGAGAGGTAGAAAGAGAGATAGGTGGAAGGAGAGAGCTGGAAAGAGTGGGAGGTGGAAGAGAGAAAGGTGGAAAGAGAGAGGGAGGTGGAAAGAGAGGGAGGTGGAAGGAGAGAGGTAGAAAGAGAGATAGGCGGAAGGAGATAGGTGGAAAGAGTGAGAGGTGGAAAGAGTAAGGGGGAAGGAGAGAGGTGGAAAGAGAGCGAGGTGATAGAGAGTGGTGGAAAGAGAGAGAGAGAGGTGGAAAGAGAGAGGTGGAAAGAGAGAGAGAGCGTTTTTTTCTTTCGGTCTCACTGCCAATTCATGTAAACACACCATTTCCATCTCTCCACCCTTCCAACACGATAATAAATTTATATCTTTCTTTCCCCCACTCTCCATATATGACTTCGTGTGCATGGTGGCAAGCCCACAAGGAAGCAAGCAAACAAAATTTCTAGAATTTTAGGATTATAAAGATTGTTTTATCCTATTTTATTTATAATTTTCATTATTATCATTTCATTTATTTGTAACAATAATAATATCTCTACAAATCACATGAGCACTGGGACTGATAAAAGTACGACTGCCAAGCGTTATGCCTTTGTGACTCATCTTTTGCCACTGTTCCATGAGCAGACTTTCTACTCTTAACTGATGGATAAATCCATGATTCAATAATAGTGTAGATAAGGTTCTACCCAGCACCAAAATATGGTGAAAAATATTCTATTTTCTTCGGTAACCATTTTTTGTAGGGTACTTAACTCAAGAAAACCAGGCTTCAGTTTTGTAAAGGAAATGTTTTCCAGTAGAAAACTGTTGTATCTTTCCTCTGTATAGTTCTTTGTTATTCGTGCCCCTAAAATATTTATTAGTTCTTCGTTTCCCTGTTATATTACGTTGTTCGTTATGTCCCTATAATATTTAATTGTTCTTTGTCCCCCTATTATATATCCTTGATTTCGTTCCGCTGTTATATTTCGTTGTTCTTCGTGCCCCTAAAATATTTCCTTACTCTTCGTTTCCGTGTTATATTTCCTTGTTCGTTGTGTCCCTATAATATTTTATTGTTCTTCGTCCCCTATTATATTTCCTTGCTTTCGTTCCGCTGTTATATTTCCTTGTACTTCGTGACCCTATAATATTTCGTTGGTCTTCGTTCCTCTATTATATTTCCTTACTCTTCGTTTCCCTGTTATATGTCCTTGTTCATTATGTCCCTATAATATTTAATTGTTCTTCGTACATCTATTATATTTCATTGTTCTTCGTACCCCTATTATATTACGTTCCTTCAGTTCCGCTGTTATATTTCGCTGTTCTGCGAGCTCCTATATTTCCTAGCTCGTCGTTCCCCTATTATGTCTCCTTACACTTCGTTTCCTTGTTATATTTCCTTGTTCGTTGTGTCCCTATAAAATTTCATTGCTCTTCGTCCCCTTATTATATTTCATTGCTGTCGTACCGCTGTTATATTGCCTGGTACTTCGTGCCCCTCTAATATTTCATTGTTCTTTGTTCCTCTGTTATATTTCCTTACTCTTCGTTCCCCTGTTATATTTCATTGTTCGTTGTGTCCCTATAATAATTCCTTGTTCTTCGTCCCCCATTATATTTCGTTGCTTTCGTACCGCTGTTATATTTCCTTGTACTTCGTGCCCCTATAATATTTCATTGTTCGTCGTGCGCCAATAATATTTCTTTGCTCTTCGTTCCCCTGTTATATTTCCTTGTTTGTTGTGTCCCTATAATATTTCATTGTTCTTCGTCCCCCTATTATATTTCCTTGCATTCGTTCCGCTGTTATATTTCCTGGTACTTCGTGCCCCTATAATATTTCATTGTTCGTCGTGCCCCTATTATATTTCCTTGCATTCGTTCCGCTGTTATATTTCCTGGTACTTCGTGCCCCTATAATATTTCATTGTTCGTCGTGCCCCTATAATATTTCTTTGCTCTTCGTTCCCCTGTTATATTTCCTTGGTTGTTGTGTCCCTATAATATTTCATTGTTCTTCGTCCCCCTATTATATTTCCTTGTATTCGTTCCGCTGTTATATTTCCTGGTACTTCGTGACCCTATAATATTTCATTGTTCTTTGTTCCCCTGTTCCCCTCTTATATTTCCTTGTTTGTTGTGTTCCTATAATGTTTCATTGTTCTTCGTCCCCCTATTATATTTCCTTGCATTCGTTCCCCTGATATATTTCATTGTTCATTGTGTCCCTATAATAATTCCTTGTTCTTCGTCCCCCATTATATTTCGTTGCTTTCGTTCCGCTGTTATATTTCGTTGTTCTTCGTGCCCTATAATATTTCATTGTTCGTCGTGTCCCTATTATATTTCCTTGCTCTTCGTTTCCCTGTTATCTTTCCTTGTTTGTGGTTTCCCTATAATATTTCATTTTCTTCGTCCCCTTATTATATTTCCTTACTTTCGTTCCGCTGTTATATTTGGTTGTTCTTCGTGCCCCTATAATATTTCTTTTTTCTTCGTTCCCCCGTTATATTTCCCTACTCTTCGTTTCTCTGTTACATTTCCTCGTATTTCGTGCCCCTATAATATTTCCTTGCTCTTCGTTCCCCTGTTATATTTCCTCACTTTTCGTTTCCCTGTTATATTTCCTCGTATTTCGTGCCCCTATAATATTTAATTGTTCTTCGTCCCCCTATTACATTTCCTTACTCTTCGTTTCCCTGTTATATTTCCTTCTTCTTCGTTCCCCTATATCTCCTTGCTCTTTTTTCCCCTATAATATTTCCTTACTCTTCGTCCTCCTATTACATTTCCTTGTTCTTCTTTCCCCCATTATATTTCCTTTGTTTTTATCTCCTTTCACATTTCCTTCATCTTGGTTACCCTATTATATTTCTTTGCTCTTCCCCCTCCTATTTTATTTCCTTTTTCTTCGTTCCCTTATTATATTGTTTTTAATAAGTTTGACGTGGCAGCTGTATCAACATTTCGTTGTTAATTTAGTTAATCTTTATATACTTATTCATTTCTCCCTGAAAATAATCCAACCGCCTACCATTTGTACATTAAAGTAAGGCTTACCGCTTACAATCTATAATGTTGCAATAACTTTTACTCAAAGATTATGAAGCTTTATCTGACTAATTCAGCTTTAGCACTGAAAACTTTTATTTTCTCTAAGTGACTGGTTATAAGCGAGAAGGGAGATGGAATGTGCTTATTTTATTATCACACTATCCCTTAAGTTCTTGATCTGTCATCCATTTGCACAACCTCCTTGCGTTTAATAGGCAACTTTTAGGTTTCTATTTCTCTCTAGTCTTCAATATCTCCAAATTCCTTTTCTTCCAGAAATGTTACAGAATGCTCATCTTCCTCATTCTGTGATTCTAACTACAAGTTTAATTTTCGTTCACATTTTACTTAACATTTTCATCTTACTCACATGGTTAGACGATAAACTACATCCGCGTTCTGAGTAAGACGATAAGATACATCGGTGAACTGGGTATGACGATAAACTACATCGGCGACCTGGGTATGACGATAAACTACATCGGCGACCTGGGTATGACGATAAACTACATGTAGGAGGTTTTGTTTAATTGGTGGTCTTCCTAGCCCCCACCCTTTGTGGTAGCATCTGTTAGGGTCCCAGCTATGGGCAAATAGTTACCTCCCCAAAGGGGTCAAAACACCTTTGAAAATATAAAAATAGATTTTAATACCACCAATATACTTTGGGAAAAATATTACGAGAAATATATTTTTGGAAGAAAAAATGATTACCAGCAATACATTATTACCAGCAGTACATTTTTCGAAAAAAACAATAACAAAAAAAAAAAAGCAAAAAAAAAAAGAGTAACAAACAAACAAATATTACTAGCACTGCATTTTTGAAGGAAAAATGTTACCAACAATACATTTTTGGACAAAAAAATCTTGTCAGCAATAAAAATCTTATCGGCATCAAATAACCCATTGAGGGGTTGATATACCGTAAAGCAAAACAAAGCAAAGCATACCTTATTCATATGTTACATCTATGATATTCTTAGTATCCTTCTGTAGAATTACCTCTCTTTGGCTCACGTTTCCCTTTCATCTGTGAGGAAATATTCAGTATTGATTATCATATAGAGGGGGACTGTTATTTCATCGCCCTTGAGCCCTTATTTTTCACTCTATTTTGTTTACCCTTGTAAGGAAAATTTTCGCCCTTCCAATTCAACTTCGGATTTCTGTGTCATATTTTTCGACGTGTATTAAAATATATTAGCAGCAATAAAAATTCTTGTTGGCATTAAATAACCCATTGAAGTTGTTAAGCCGTAAAACATAACAAAACCAAACCAAATCTTTCTTTCTTTCTTTCTTTTTTTCTTTTAGGTACTTTTCTTTCTTTATTTCTTTCTTTATTTTTCTTTCTTTCTACTACTTTTCTTTCTTTCTTTCTTTCTTTCTTTCTTTCTTTCTTTCTTTCTTTCTTTCTACGCCTTTTCTTTCTTTCTACGCCTTTTCTTTCTTTCTTTCTTTCTTTCTTTCTTTCTTTCCATTCCTTCTCTTTCTTTCTTTCTTTCTTTCTTTCTTTCTTTCTTTCTTTCTTTCTACTACTTTTCTTTCTTTCTTTCTTTCTTTCTTTCTTTCTTTCTTTCTTTCTTTCTTTCCATTCCTTTTCTTTATTTCTTTCTTTCTTTCCATTCCTTTTCTTTATTTCTTTATTTCTTTCCATTCCTTTTCTTTCTTTCTTTCTTTCTTTCTTTCTTTCTTTCTTTCTTTCTTTCTTTCTTTCTTAAACGAAGCAGTTTCTCTGAATTTTCCTTTTCCGTTTTTCCTCGCGATCAAAACGGAATATTCCATTATTGATGATGTATTGGCAGGGCGTAACGGTCGTGATACCAAACTAAGGAAGTAAAGAGCACGCAGAATTAAAATGATATGGCGGATGTGCGTTTAACGTGGCGATTATCAACATTATTACCAGTAATACATATTTGAAGGAAAAAATATTACCAGCAATACTTTTTTGAAGAAAAAATATTACCAGAACTAAAAATCTTGTCAACATTAAATAACCCATTGATGTTGATATGCCGTAAAACAAAACAAACAAACAAAATAATAAGACATAAATCCGAAGAGATGAAAGTTAAAAGAAACAGATTTGCTAACAAAATAAGCAATATTTATGATATTCCTGGAGAGAAACCATTTTGAAAACTGTCTTCCTTCTGCTTCTCGTAAATTTCAATCAGGTAATATCGTTCACATTTTCACGATCCCATAATTTATCGGTCATTTTGACACATTACCTGGACGTGATCTGCGTCTGTCCAGGATATAAAAATCTGCCGTCATAGCTGTGCTTTTAGTGAAATATTTATGAGGATGCATAGGTTTGAAAGAGATTCATTTACATGACTGGGTATTGAACTCACACTCTTTGGGTCCTGTCACTGGATGTAACTAACGCCTTTATCCACTGTGTCATGTGTCCATGAGGAGTGTGAGTTCAAGGTAGCGGAGAACCTGGAGTAAGGAATTAACAGGAGATAACTGATAAGTGACACCCGTTATACATGGTAAGTGGAACTAGAACAGTATAGCCCAGTGAGCGAAATAAAGAGTTCAGT